ATCATAGGAGGATGCAGCGGTCATAAATTTCGTGGTGAAGATAGTATCTTTGATCAATTAGTGTTCTTCTTTCGAGGCATAATAGCAAGTTTTTTATATACTGAAGTTTGATAGGTCTTGTTTATCACAAATTCGTATCGGTAAGCAAGCTTTTTTCTTGGGCAGCTGTACTCGATATTATACTTGCTCTTTTAAAGCAGGCCTGCCTCGTCCATTGCATTTTTACGATAGAGACGAAGTAAGCCTAACATTTATTGTCGACTTCAAAAGTTAGATAAAGATACCTTCCATAAAAAGAGTTCGTACATTTCAAGTACATATCAGTAAATTATAATCCATATTTCATTTGAACAGGTCATTACGGCCGTTACAAATTTGGAATCCATTTTCGAACAGACACATTTCCTTATGTGATTGCTTAAAAGAGCTCGTGGATTACAATTTCAACAACTGTGATATGTTAAGTATGTGAAAATGATTTTTATCAATATTGTAAAAAAATGTTATAAATTAAACTCGAATATCGCTTCTGTATATAATATGTGCCATAAAATTCTTGATACATTGTTCAATACAACCTTTTAAAATATAAATAATAAATAAAATATTAAGAAACACTATTTTTAAACTTGACTTGTTGGTGTGAACAGCACAGTTCATTTAAAACACTTCAGTCAAGTAATATATAAATAATTTATAGCACTGATATAAAATTTTTTCGCTTTTAATGTGTTTATATTAAATTTAACTGACTATAGTCAATTTTAGCACGACTATATAAATACAAAAACTATTAATATTGTAATAAAAACTAAATCTCAATATTATTTTTTATATTATTTAAAATGAATCATTTTACACAAAATCTAACAGACAGTAGGCCACTTTAAATACAACTCAATGATGTGGGAACCTAAACAAAAACACACAGGCATATGAGTATCCATGCCTATCCTACTCTATACATGTATATACATTATTTAATATGTGTATAGACTATATATATATATATATAATTTTATAGCCTCTGTAATATGAGTGCGTTTAAGTGCGTAAATAAATTTCGTGATTATTATTTGTGTTGTGTACGTCACCGACAATGCGTCTCCACAGTCAATTTGGCTTAAAATGAAATTTAAGTTAAGAAAAAATGGTTCAGAAAATAAGAAATCGTTAAGAGATAAATGAGATACGCACTTAAAAAGCTTTGCCAAATAAATTAGTTTAGTGAATGTCAAGCAGTGCTCCACATTCAGTTAGAAACAAAAACTCTGTGTGATTTTTTTACATTGCTTCACTATTTACTTTATTAATTAATATTAAATGCTTGTGAGAATCAAAAAAAATTAACATGTTTGTAGTGCAATATAGCATTTGATTATACCAAGCATAGCATGGGAAGCCTAGGGCTAAGGACTGGATCTCTTTCAAAATTTACCTTCATTGGAGAGTATTATCATGGATTACAATATCGTATAAATATCAAAGAAGGAGAAAACTGTATGAAAAACTTCTCTCTCAAATACTATTTATAGATTAAGTAGTAACAGAAAATTTTCTCAAACATTTTTTACTGAATTGAACATCTACATGATTTGTTTGCTCGTGGTATTTAGTGGTACTTTATACAATTGTATTAATGATCATTTCTAGCAATTTATGTACAACACTTTCTACGTATTTAACTGTAGGATTATATCCACAGTTCTCATATTCCTTTCCTCTATCTCTGTAATCATCTAAGTGTGCTTCTAGATAACTAGTATTAGTATCTTGTGACTACAATAATAGTATGTTTTATGGCTCTAACTATTTATAACTATTTTGAATGAAATTACCATTACTATCCAAAATTAAACCTTACTTTGTCGGTTGTCTTTTGCACATTCATTTTGTCCATTATCATTCGCCAGACAGTCCAATCAGCGATTTGCAGCAGTCAGTTGGTAGTACCGAGTATCTTACAATCGCTTTTTCCTAGTCTTTCTACAAGTATCGAAATAAACATTTTTGTACCCAGAGAGATCAAATAGAATGCTGTATTACAGTTATCATATTCTACTTCCGTAAATTTATTTAAATTTAATTCATTTTAATTAGATATTCTAACACCAAAAACAAATATAATTAAACCAAATAAAATTATGTGATAAACCTTCGTTACGACGTCAATAAATTCATATTCCTTTACTTAGATTAGATTTTATTTTCTTCCCAACCGTCATGAGACTTTTCCGTACAGGATCAAATAAAAACAAAAACTTATCAATTGGAAAATGATTGATTCAACAATTTGCAAACTTGCAGTAAGTACACTTCGTGTGCCATGTTTGGACATACGACGGACTTATATTGCCAAAAGTTCCTTTGTAGCAGTTTCTGCGTTATTTATTTGCAAAATGATTAATGGCCACTTGAGATTACAAGTCATTCGCCTACTAAAATCTGGTACCCATACAACGGATTAAGGATCAAACCAAGAAGCAATACAGAAACTGTAGCGAAATATTGCCAAAAATTATGTAGCATAATGAGTGCGCTAAGTATATTATTTGTAACAATTTATTGATATACACATATACAGGAATATATATGCGTAAATGTGTATAAGAGTATAAGAGAGTAAGTGGGCATTTCCAATGCCATAAACAATGCAATGCATTAACATTAAGTAATACTTATGAGAACCTTAAATCGAAAGTCAAAATGTATCGTTTTGAACACAACTTGACCTTTACCAGCTGCTTCAATCAATCCATTTGTTTGGATAATTTTATATTTGATTTTCGTTTCTGATCAGGACATTTTTCATTTTTTTCCGTTTTTTTTTTGGCAAGTATTATTTATTTTTACTTTGCAGTTTTTGTTTTATTAGGAATTTCTTCCATATTGGCAAAATTAGTGATTGATTGATTAGCAAATATATTTTGTGCCAAATCCAACATAGCAACTCATCTCTAGAGGGTCAATGCTGAATGAAACTTTGTAATAAAAAGTTTAAATAACATAAAAGGAATAAGTAATTGAATGCGCTGATTAAATAAGTCCTCCAATCCTCACAATGCCAGTTTTGAATTGTACTTGAATTCACGGTCAACAAACAGGGATTTTTGGAATACAAAAGCTGAAAGTATATTTAAATTTATTTGCGGTTATGAGTAGGCGAATTTCAGTTATTCAAATTAATGGAAATATTTCATTTTTTTAAAAATAGAAGTCCTGAATCGAATTATTTTTGTATATTCTCTTAAGACCTCATCAAAACACACTTTTTAGTTTTTCGGCTTCAATAATCTAAAATAGAAGGAATGCAAATTATGTAAAATTTTTCGATTTTTTAATTCTGAAATAATGGTATATAAAGCTTATCAAGTTGTTATTAAGTTGCTTATCGTTGTTTCCTTCATATCTTGTATTTCCTATCCTTTAGGTTCGGAGATGACATAAGGTTATATTTTTGATTAGCGGGTTACCATAAATCCCGAACACATTAAGCAGACAATTTAATAAATTTGGGTAACTATGTTATATATTGTCCATTTAATACAACGACAAAAAGATGAGTTTTGGTTTTTATATGAATACTTGAATTAAAATTTTACATAAAATGAAGGAAGGATTAATGAAGGATATTACGAAGTATAATATCCAAAAAAAAGCTCTTCTTTCAAAGACATATGTAAGATAAATTGATTTAAGACGTGTATGAAATTGGTACAAAAAAATTTAATATATCTTAAATAATTTTCTTTAAAAATCTATTTTGTTCTCTAAGCACTGATCATTTTATCATAAATATGTTAAGATTGAGTATTATTGATGAGACTTGACTATTACTAAAAATAAATAAATTTTGTTAATACTGGCCATCAACCGCGGATATGCTTTGAGTTGCCCACACCCATAAGATAAAGTTAACATATTGGATCTATAATAATATCCACAGTAATATTAGGTACTATTCAGACCAAATACTGTTAGAGATCTATTTCCATTAAAGAGGCACGCGGATATTTACAAAGAAAAGAAAGAAGTTATGTCACTAACTAGCATTGTCTTCCAGAAAAAACAGTTTCTTAATAGAAGTACATCGTTTATTATTTGTCAGATTATTAAGAATTGTCTGTATATAAAAAGTAATTTACTAATAATTTTTTAAACGAATATATATATTTCAAATTAAAAAGAAACACAAATTTTCCGAGCTCTTATCACAAAAAAATCTATTTTTGTTAAGTAGACGAGTGATATTTATTTACTACGACTCCTTTAAAGTAATTGTTAAAATAGAAAGATTTACACAAAATGTTTGAACCTTCAAAGAACCTCCGTCAATAGTTTAAGTATTTATAAACTAAATACTTAAACCTCCGGCCCCTTCGCTTAGTATCATTAACGGCTTAATTATGCGATCGCCTGATTGCTACCAAACGGACCATCAACTTGTTTGTCTGGAAAAGCCTGGTTTGGCCTTCGTGGCTCTCAAACCTATAAGCGAAACTCATTAACTACTGAAGCAAACTCACTAAACCGTTTTTATAAATTTTTAACTAATTATTAATTTATATAGAATCAATAAGATGATGTTTATATAATATAAAATAAGATTACTGACTCAAAAAAATATCTGTTGCTTTCTAAACAGTAGTAAAGCAAAGCAGAATTATTAACAGGACTATTTTGATGAATAACAATCACTTTTGACGAATTTTTCTTTCATATCTGTATAATCCTGAAATACTTTTTTAATGCAAAAAATGTATTATATGAATTGTGCTTCATATATTGCAATTTTATACCAAAGTTAATATATTTTAAAATTGTCACATTCAGGAAAAAATTAAAATTGCTTTTAAATTGCATATTTAGATATCATTTTTTTATTTTAACAGAAATACGTAGCAACGTATTTATTATTTAACAGAAATAAATGTTATCCGACTCGATTCCATATTAAATTATATATTTATTAAATCTAATTTTTTCTTTTAATATTGCAGGTATCCTGGATAAGAAAAAAAGACTATCACCTACTGACAGTTGGTTTAACCACATACAGCAGTGATGAGCGCTTTAGTGCAACGCATTTAAAACACTCTGAGGTAAATAGCACACTTCATATGTAAAATATATGCAATTTAACAAAACTGCAGTAGTAGAAAAAAACAATATCCTTGTTACGGTACACTGACAGGGACGATATTCCTAGCAGAAAAAAAAAGAAGAAAAAAAATTGAAATGAAATGTACTTACAAGCATTTTACACTCATGTTCAGAGCGGAATTTAAAGCTAAAACGTGATTTCCATATTATGCAGCAAACAAGCGGGAAGCCGCATGGACCTGCTCCATGACACATATAACTTGAAGTGCATACAGATAAAAATTAAATATAATATTGACACATTGGTTAGTATGTGTCGCATATTTCAGAGCCACGGAAGGGTCACATACGAGTCTGAACTGCATTTGACAGTGAGCAGAGTGAGCATTCATTTCACTTTTGATTCACGCAACGCACAAAGTACTGCATATTTATTTTGATTACTTTAAGCATAAAATAAATTCATAAAATATATACTGTATCATTATTTTAATACTCCTTCCTTCGAGTTGTAACAACGTCATAATTGTGTAATTTTTTATATTCTGCTCTTCTTCTTTTTATTTCAATTTTATAATGCTTTTTATGCAACCGCATCTGTTACCGAATGTGTGAAATAAAAAATATTCCATCCGACCCAGGATTGGACGCTGCAAATAAAATTTGTGCAACTACGTGACGCTGGCGTCTACGAGTGTCAAGTATCAACCCATCCGCCCACATCAATATTTTTACATTTGAATGTTGTTGGTGAGTATCAGTGTTGGATGAATGCATTCACATAAATTTACTAAGGCAGTCAACAAAAAGTTCACCGTAACAAATGTAAGTCGAATAGCAAATCTTAAATGCAAGCGCAGTAAAAAGCACATACGTACGGTACTAGAGCAGAGTAGAGTAGAGTAAAGTAGAGTAGAGTAGAGTGAAATGGTCCACAAGAAGATTTGTGGCATTGAAATGAAATTGGGTTTGTGGTAATAACGTCGATTTAGCACAGATTCTCCGATTTTTCTTATTTCAAGCGAAATTTGATTTGAGCTCATTTGTTTGTTTTATAGCTTGCTGATGGAGGATACAGTATTATCGACTTAGTTTTAGATTAAAGCATTTACAGCCTTGACCGTAAATACACCCAAATTCTTAAAATATATTTGATTATTTTCATTGAAAAATAAAATCTGTTGCACATTTAATTTATTACATGAATAGTGATTATCACAAAAATAAATTTTTAAAGGTTATCAAAAGAAAGTGGAAGGGTTTAGGAATATATTCTTTATATACTCGTATATATATAATTAAAATTGGAAAAAATGCACTTTTATATAAACTACTCCAATTGGCCTTAGTTCAATTAATTAAAAATAAAGGTTTCTATTCATAGTAACTTGTATTATGTACTAATTAATATTTCAAAATTAAATTATAATTTATCCCTTCCATTTTGTATAAAGTTGCAGAAGAAAACAGAACAGTGTAGGGTTTAATATAATAAATACGAGCACACATATGCATACAACTTGAATTATTAGGAGCAGTATTACCTAACAGTTCCATAGAAAGTTTATGACAGGTTTGAAATAGAAAATCCAATCCAATCTAAACTATGTTTGGAAATATAAGGAAAATTTTACTTACTCATTCCCATAGATGAGAACGCTTCAGTACTAGACTATACAAAAATGTTATGGAGTGTCATCTATTTGTCAGCAGAAGAACTGAAGCATTACTTGCAATACATTCTGTCAGGAAGGTGCAGTGAATCGTTTTGTTAAAAAAAGTATTATCGAAATTCTTCTTGGCACCTTTCCCTTCCCGCACTGTTATTTCAATGTTACTTGTCATTTTGCTTGTTAACAGTGCGCCATTTTGTGAATACATCTCAAGACTGTTTTGCGACTTTTGCAGTGGATAACAATATCAAACAAAGAATATGTCTTAAATTTATTATTTCAAATAAAGTTTCTTGTAAATAAGCACTGAAAATGTTGTCAAAATCTTGGAGTGTATAGACTATATCAAACACGTGCGTTTGAGTAGTACAGGACATTTCAAACCAGTAGAGATTTGATGAAAGATTTGCATCATTCTGGGCGATTATCAATGTCTTTACCTGAACTTAACATCAGTAAATTAAGGGAAATACTGAAGTAATGCTCTATTTACAAGTCATATGAAGTGGACATATCAGTGCACTTCTAAACAATTTAAAAATAGAATATCATACAATGATAAATTCTCTCTCAAAATAAAAATCTATGAAATTCTATCGAAGAAAGAATTATAGTTGAACTCCATTGTCTTAGTTCGCGTCGAAGAGTATGTTTATTTGTATATTCTATATAAAGTTTAAATACTGTAGACTTGATGTCAAAAATATTATGCATACATATTTAAAATTTCATTATCTGATATTTAAGTTATTCTTATTTCATCGAATTTATCTGCAATATGTTTAATTTTAAAGTGCCTGTCCATATTTTTTTTTTGTATCTCAAAATAAATTATGTAAATTTTATATTAATATAAGTTATTGTTATAACTTTTGTATTATATTGATTAAATTCTGCGGTTGCATATTACATTTACCATTTATTTATACTTAAATGCATTATTGAGTTAATATATTAAATACGTTATGATTATCAGGTATGCTTGCCATTTTTATTTATCAATTGCACTTCATTTTACATAAATTTATTTTATTGAAAATAATATAATAAATTCTTCTCTTAATTTAATTGTTGCTATGAATTTTTCATGAAATTCACTTATCAATTAATTAAAATTACATATTTTATTTTCACTATTCAAATAATACTTATACTTATATCTATAATAGATACATATTATTAATATGTATATATAAATAAGTGCAAATGATTAAAACACAATTGTCAATTAATTGTTGTGGTTTTAAAGTGTTAAAACTGGAAGAATGAAACAAATCTATGTTAAAAAGGTATTATAACTCAAATTTACAGGGTCATTACTCATATATATGCGAATATATCACTGTAACTTGAAAATTATACACCATTGCATATATCATTAAAATGAATTTATATATTTTTTATTGATTCGAAACCCGTTATTACAACAAAAAAAAAATTATGAACCAATAAATAATTAAGCAATGAGATGAATTAAAATTTTTTTTAATAGTTTAATAGTTGACTGTATTGTGGCCGTGTGAGTTAACAAATAAATTAATAGCAGCTCTTAAGGCTTAGCTTTATTTATAAGCACAGTTTTTTTTTCAATAAATTACACACTAGAGAATAAAATAAATTAAAATGAATATAATAAAATATGTTTTATTTTTAATTATTTTAAGATTGATAGTTAAACGTTTTTTCCTTTCACTGAACACATATCCACAAACATCTTCACTGTAATATGCGTTCCTAAACCAAATATAAAGACTTTCTAATCCTTTCATTTTAATTAATAGAGAAGTATATATATGAAATAATAATTATATTATCATTAAATAATAAATTTTTAATTTTTTTTAACATTGATTTAATAAAATTAGACAACAAAAACATATTGTTTGGTTTAAAGTTATGTTTTTAAAAACTTAACATAACCCTTTCACTTTGTATAAATCTCGCTGAGACCAGCTGCAGATATGTTAATTTAACAGTTCATTTAACATAACTATTGAAATTTTAACAGCAACAACAGTTGTGTGCTGTACTAAATAGTGCAAGAAATTAGTTAAATGTTGAAGTAAAATAGAATTTTTTTAGTCTTTCACTATCAAAAGTTGGTGCTTCAGATTTTTGTTATCATAGTAATGCATGGCTGCATGTATACTCATGTATGAATGTAAGTAAATATCGTAGTACATATAAGCAAGTATGAATATGTATAATTTTAAATTTTGCCTAACAGTAACATAAATTAAATTCATTTATATACAAAAGATATAAATTCAATAAATACAATAAAAAAAATATCAATCTTTATAATATGCAATATATTATTCAATTATGTATAATAATTAAGATACTCAATTATAATTTTGTTTTGCTTTAATTTTACTGAAAATCAATTCAAAATGAATACAAAAACTTTTTCTAGTTTAAATTAAAATATTTCTAAAACAAATATGTAATTGACTTTAACTTTATAAT